GTTATCAGGGATATCTATCTGATTGGGAGTATCCTTCATGTGGAGTTGCCCAGGGAACCATATTGGCGCCCATAATCTTCCTAGCACTGATTAACAGTGCCCTTCAGAATCAGCTAGACCACTGAAAATATGTGAACGACATGACTGGCCCAGAGGTAGACCCCTCATCTGCCCTGTATCTCCAACAGATGTTGAATGATCTTGGCATCTGGGTAGAGAAACATAAAATGAAACTCAACTCAAAGAAATGCAAGGTTTTACATGTCACCCGCATGAAACAGATACCAGATTGGCCATCACTTTCTATATATCAGGACACTTTGTAAATCTGTGACTCTGTTAAAGTTTTAGGAGTTACCATTCAGAGTGATTTGAAATAGGATGGTCAAGTGGATCACATGTTGTAAAGAAATGTAAAGACATTTGGTGTTCGAGATCAAGAATTGGTTATTATCTATACAGGGTATGTGCGCCCTGTGTTAGAGTACGCAGTTCCTGTTTGGCACAGTTTGTTGACTACTGAGGCTGGAAAGTGTGCAGAAACGGGTTTGTAAAATTATACTGGGTCAAAGGTATCAAGGATATTCTGATGCCCTCTTCCTTCTTGGATTGTGCACACTAGCAGAGAGACGAGTCCAACTGTAACGTGATTTTGCTAGGAAGCTATACAAGTCTAGTTTGAGAGACTGGCTAACACCACTCAGGGAGGAGCTGACAGGACGCCAGACATGGAACATCACCTATTCCCTATATGTGTAGACTTTTAAATGATTATGGATTTTAAAAAGTACTTTGTGTATTTTTATTATATATTTTATTTTATTAATTGTATTTTTAATTTGGAGTAAATTGGTATTGACATTTCATTGTAACAGCAAAATAATTCAGGGTTCCTTAATGACAAACGTACTTAGGTACCTGTAATGATGCTGAAACAGTCAATAAACAACAATAGTAAATAAAAATACTAAACCAACACTGATTCATTTGTTAATGTATTATTTTTTTTGAGTCAGATCTTTTCAATGGTTCATTTGATCCAGTCCACAAAAGCAGACTGAATGATTCATTTAGAATCAGATTGATTCAGTTCTCCAGTTCAACTCTCTGACTCAAGCTGGTCATGGTGGCAACATCCATTTTTAAAAGAGCTAAGAGTACATTTCTTCAAACTTGCACTTTTTGTGATGCACAGAAGAAATAAAGCCATGAGGCTTTTTGGATGAACTACTCCTTGAACTTCTACTTCTAAAGTGTTTTCTGCAAATGACAAACTGCTTTGTTGAATTTGAAATAATAAAAAAACAGGTGTTTTTAGTGCTCAAAAACCTTGACCACAAGCAAAATGGTCATGTGACAACCCTGACCAATTGACTTTGAACTGAGGCAGCTGAGCCATTTCCTCGATCTAAGACATCTGTCTCCATGAGTGTGATTTAATTTCCTCCTCAATTAGGCAGACATCTCAGATTACCATCAATGTCATTTAACACTTTACAGAAAACCGACTCATGGGTCATCAGTCGACATTAATAGAGCCAAATTGGTTATTATATACTGGATGTTGTATAAAACTGCTATGTTGGTTGGAATCAGACTGTACTCTGTAGGTGATTTATGAAGTTATTGGCATTCAGAATTTTCACTATTTCCCAGGTGGCTTCGTGCTGGCAATCTGACAAGCTGTAGCACACGCCAGACGCAGACTGAGCTTCAGAGAGCGACTCTGAAACCCACTTTCAAAATGTCAGATGAGAAACTAAGTGAATCATTGATTGAAAAAAAATAGTATAGTGGCATGTGTTCGGGTTGAAGTGGGGAGGCATCAGGACACCTGATATGAAAGAAAAACAATTTTGCAATAGTGAAGATAAAAATCACGGAATCAATTGGCTGTAAGCAATCAGCAAGACGATGAATTTCATAAATTACATGTCCCTCCCCATCACCTCTGAGACGTGTGAGAGGGAGGAATATCAGTGTTGAAAATGATGTGCGACAGAGGTCGAGTTAATCAAGTCAGTGAAATTACAAAATAAAATGCTGATAGCTTCACCTGGGATTTGATCACGGGACTTCTTACTCTCAATGTGTCACACCACTAGACTTGTTTATTATTGCTTATTTACAATACTTTTCAAAAGTTTGGGGTCAGTTATTTTTTTAAAGGGATAATTCACCCAAAAATTAAAATTGTCATTGATTACTCACCCTCATGTCGTTCCAAACCCGTAAGATCTCAGTTCATCTTTGGAACACAAATGTGCATGCACATGATTTTTCTGCATGTAAACAATGCATGCATTACACCTTGTTTACATTTAGAGGAAATCATGCACATGCATCGTGATACACTCCAAAATTATTTCACAGTATTCCTGTTTTTACTGTATTTTTAATAAAATAAATGCAGCTTTGGCATAAAGAAACTTCTTTCACAAACAATAAAATATCTTACCGACCCCAAACTTTTTAAAAGTAGCTCTTCTATCGTATCTTTGACCTTCAATTTAATCTAAGTGATTGTTTATTGTAACTTATTATATAATGAATATATGATCTCACCTGGGGCACCAAGGGAAAACAGACAAGTGAGTTTAACCTTGAAAATTATGAATACAAATGGCCTTGGGCCAAAACAAGATAGAATGTAAAGTGAGACAATTTTCAAGTTTGGCGTAAATTAAATGTCGCTTCACTGTGTCACTGTTGTCATGATGCTCAGGGCGACAAATGGAAGTAAAAAACAAAACAAATCAGTATGCAAATAAGTGCAAGAAGCAAGACCAAACACAATGAAGTATGCTAATTTTACAGTGATGCCATTACTGTTGAATGGCAAACGTTCTGACAATGTTAACCAATGGGATTTTCCAACATGATGAAATTACTGCCAGAGGGTTTTAATGTATTTAAGCTGAAATGTATTTGTAGAAAATTGTGAAAAATAAAAAGTAGTAAGATGAATTTCAATAGCTCAGTAATGAGTGAACGTGTATGGTCTCTCTTCACTTTAAAGGGATAGTGCACCTGAAAATGAAAGTTCTGTCATCATTTACTCACCCTCAAGTGGTTTCAACTTGACAGTTGCTGGTCCCCACTGACTTCCATAGTATGAAAAAAATACTATGGAAGTCAATGGGGACCAGAAACTGTTTGGTTGTACACATTGTTCAACATTTCTTCTTTTGTGTTCAGTAGAAGAATGAAAATCATACAGGTTTGTAACAACTTGAGCATGATTAAATATGACAGAATTTTCATTTTTTTTGGGTGAACTGTCTCTTTAAAGGAGAAGCATGTAATTTCTGCACCACTAACCACACCAGAAATGCTAAAATAACTTTTTTTTGTTATAAACCTAGGAATCTAATAATAGAGCCTGTACAAGCAGCACAAGCCTCTCACCCAGAACAATGGCCAACATCTGTGTGGCTTTCTTTTCCTTGGAGTGCATACTTCTACAGCGGACCTGACTGGGACACACCACAGGTGGATGCAGGGTGGTGTGTGTGCGTCCGTTTGACAGCTTCTTCACCTCACAGCTCCTAACTGTCACCTGCTCCTCATCCCCACCCTCCTCTTCCCCATGGTTTGCATCTTGCTCAGTACGAGCAAAGGATGCCTGGCTGATGCTGCAGTAGTTCAGCGTTATCACAGGAGGCAGCAGCGAGTTCTCGGCAGGGGCGGTTTGAGGCCGCTTACGCCACGGGCAGCTGGCGAGGAGCCGCGGACGGATCACCTGCTCCTTGGTTTCCTGAACAGATAGGGAGATGAAACGCAAGCATGCAAACTTCAAGGTGCGCTGCATATCTTTATTCCTGCAAGCATGTCTGTTCTATAATTAATTAGCACAAGGAGGTATGCTGTCCTCATTTCCTCGAATAGAATGATATCGTCTCAAGGACTACTGAGTATTTTTGTTGCAATATGAAGCTGATTTCACACCACCTTACACACTGGACTACTTTTGGATTGCTTTCTTGACTTTGCAATTCCATAAGAAAGGGCAATGAAACCGTAACCCTCTGGCTACTAACTACACATTTGCTGTTTTACCAGCTATATCTTATTAAAATCACTCATGTATAATTTCCAGTAACCTAACCTTCTCATTGGATATAAAGTAGTAATGAGAAATACACTACATTATTGAAAATTAGACTTTTAAAAAGTTATTTAAAAAGCTTTTTGATTTTTAGTCCGAGTAGATAGTGGATTATCTTTCTCAAATCAACAAAATAAACAGCAAAAAAAGTCTTCTTTTCCATTAAAAATATTAAAACCTCTTTAAAACAAGAAAAATTGACGTTGGATATTAAAGCTTTTTTTTAATTAATTAATTAATTTTTTTTAATATATCTTAAATTTGATTTAAAGGATTTTTCTCACCCTAATGGTAAAATGTTTTTGTCTTGTTTTAAGCATATATGTAACAAAATGTTGTCACTTTTAGACGTTTTTTTCTGAATAGCTTATGAAATGTTATTTCTAAAGTAATATTTAATTATTATAAATTTAAAAAGAACAAAATTTTTTTATTCTATTATATGGTTATTATTATAC